GAGGCAGCCCCACGCGGGTGGAAAGCAGCTTCGGTGTGGGGCACCGGCCACGGGGCGAGCGAGGGGCCGCTTTTCCCCACGCTTAGCACCAGCTTGTAACCCACCCCTGCTGCCAGCCTGGGCCCCGCACCAGCTCCGGGCTCACCCGTCAGGGCTACACCGCAGTCGCAGCAGCTGCTCCGTGCGAAGGAAAGCGGCGCCCCTGCTTGCCGTGCTGGGAAGCGCTCAAGCTCCGGGTGGGCAGCAGCAGCAGTAAACACTGCCTGGCACGGCAAGCCAGGGGGCCGCAGCTGCTGCTCTTCCCCTGCCCTATGGCAGGCGCCTCATGCCGCAGTCGCTTGCAGCCGGCGTGGGGCTACCTGTGCCTTCTCAGGGCAGCCTGCATGGGCTGTGAGCTGAGCACCAGCCAGGGGGCGGGGGAGGGGCCACTTTTCCCCGGGCTCAGCACCAGCTTGTAAGCTGCCCCTGCTTCCAGCCTGGGCCCTGCGCTGGCTCTAGGCTTGCCTGTCAGGGCTGCGCCACGGCGGCAGCAGCTGCGGCCCCCCGCTTGCCATGCCGGGCAGCGTTTGCTGCTGCCCTCCCAGAGCTCGCATGCTGGGCATGCTTCTTCCCCACCCTCCCCGCCCTTACCTGAGTTTTCGGTGCGGGTGCAGCCACATGTTCCCATGTCAGAAACCCCTCCTGGGGCTTCCGGCTGTGGGGTGGGGCCGGGCAGGCCCTGCTGTTGCAGGAGTCCACTGGGGCTTCCCCTGGGCCCTACTGCCCCTGGCTCCTGTTATTTTTGACAGAAACCAAAGACAGATAAATATTAAATTTCTAAAATTTTTAGAGGCCCCGTGGGTCAGATAGAATGGCCTCGCGGGCCGAATCCGGCCTGTGAGCTGTATTTTGCCCACACTTGTCATAGGTCATGGGATCAACCTCCATGTGCTGGCCCCCAGACACTCTGGACAGCATGGGGGGTTGGTTGGGGTGCCACTTGTAGCCCATGCCCTGGACCTCTGCTGTGTGCAGTGCTGGGTCCAGATTGTGGGTAGTGCATGCCCCTTTCTAGCCTCAGGAACCACGTACACACCGCACCTCAGGGCTGGCGCTTGCTGTACGCAACATGTGGGACTGGGCTGGCTGTGCACCTTGTACGCAGCACAGGGGGTCAGTCTGGTTCTGCATGTTGACTTCGGAGTTGGTCCAGATCGAGCCATGCCAGAGTCAGAGCACAGGGCCAGTCCAGCGGGGTGTCACATGGAGTGTATGGCCTGTACTGGCCCCCTGTACCATGTGTAGCAAATGTGGCCAGTCCAATGCAGCATGCACTGGCTTCAGGGCTTCTTGTGCACAGGGCTGGCATGGGTGTTTGGCTTGGACCCTTCACATGGTATAAGGGCCCGGCACATAGGCTGGATGCAGCATCCTGGACTAATCTGTGCTGCCCATAGTACAGATAGTGCACACCCTGTGCCAGCCATGAGGGCCCAGTGACATTCAGATTTGACACTCCTGATTTACAAGGTTTTTGACTTTGGTATAGAGTTTAGAAACTTTTTCTTTTTTTTCATGTATTAGAACTAGTGATTAAACAACTTTGTGTTGTCATAGCGATTAGTTTATAAAGCACCATACAATAATTAATGGACATATGATTACTAGAAAAAGCTAAACAAACTCCACTTCTCTTCATATCGTTCAAATGAGATTAAAACAGTCCATTATACAAATAAACAACCCATTCTTTAGTTCTCAAAAACCATGCTAACATGAAAGAAAAAAAAACTAAGTTGCCAGTTAGTGCGCAAGGTTCAAAAAGGAAAACGTGATGTGCTATGGTTATACCAAATTCTACAGACTTGGTGAAATCAAAAGACAGTTTATATTTTATAGGTTTATTCAACCTATTGAGTATATATGTTATGCTTTGTGTTGTTACCATTGCTTGATAATGCTATGAAAATTGAAAAAAACATTGTGTTTGTTTTAGTTTTATTTTGGCTATGGATAGAAAAATAAAGGTTTGTTCATTTGAAATTCAAGTGACACCATATTTACAACGTGTTAAAAAGCTTGATACTTTGAAATTTAGTTTTGGAGCAGGTATTAGTTGGGATTGTTTCCCTTTTTAACTTTTTAAGCATTATTGTTCTTAAGTCTTCTGCAGCAATCTAATAACTTGAAATCATTAGCTTTCTCTCTTTTTTTTTTCTTGTACAAGAAGCATTGAGCACAACGTTTTGTTTTACTGTAGTAGAGAGTCATTCTAAGACACATGAAGGGCTAGCTTTTGGGGGAATAAGAACAGAAAATAGTCACTTGAGCAGTTGTGGGGGGGAAAAAGCAAGGACAATAAAAGTTGGGACAATACAATGTGGCAAATACCACATCAAATATATGATTCTTTAAAATATTATTTTACTGTCTTTCCTGTATGAAAGCATCTAACCTGCATGGATTCCAGAGAACCGTCATTTGGACAGAACAACTCTCCAGCAGTCTTGCCCATTACAGTGCACGTTTCGGACAGTTCTTCTGCACCTTCAAATACAGCAGTTCACCTGTCCCAGCAGCAGCCTCCTTCCATAGAAGAATTTCATCTAGTAGACCCGAATGGTCAGCCTCTCTATGAGCTTCAGTCAATAGGGGGTTCCAGTACACAGATGGTGAGTACAGCTGAATCCACATAGACACTGAGCTCCCAAAAGAAGAGCACGTTTTAAGGACAGAAGTCCTGATGTAATTTTTGAAACATTTTATAAAAAATTTCAGAATGATTTAATTAGTTTCCCAGTTTTCTCCTCTCAGGTCTCAAATTCCCAAAATAAGCCATCACTAGTTTTTTTCTGAAATAAAGAGACAGTGTATATATACATTCTTAAAACATGTAGAAGCCCATCTTAAAGTGAGCATGGTCTGTGATGCTTTCCTGCTTTTAATTCCCCCTCTTCTCCTCTGCTCTCCTATGCTGAATGCTTGTCCTTCGAGTGGAATTATGGCATCAGCAGTAAATTAGCCAGTTACAGCCCTCCATCTTTCTGCCATCTGATTAATTTGTATGTAAAAGAAAGCTTCAAACTATGCCTTGCGAATCTGAAACCCTTTTTCAGTAAAAACATATCTCTGAGTGAAAGTTTTTTGGTATCTCCTGAACATCTGGAGAGAGAGAAATTAAAAATATGTCTTGCTTATTAGAATTGCTAAGGGGGGAAACAAACTTTAAAAACATAGAAAACTATTTATTAGGTAGGGCATTTAAAAAAAAAAACGATTTTGCAAAACTGTAAACTTGTGGACGTTGTGCCTGGCTATAACGCTTTAATTTAAGGGAATAATGGCAACTTAAGATAGTAAATACCATTTTCAAAGTTCTTGTTGATAGAACCATTGGGTATGTTCAAAGCTTTGACACACAAAGTCACAAGTGCTTACCTCTGCTTTGAGCTAATTAAATATTAAATTTTAAAAAGGTCTTAAGCAGCTGGCAATCAATTGTACCTATACTGCAGGGTGGTATTCTCTTCCATCATAAACTAGCAGTTTTATCCATGTTGTGAAATCAAATTGGAATTGTGAAAGCAAATGTAAAACCTTTTCAAAAGGAATTGATGTTGTGGTAGTAACCCAAGTATGTTAATGAAAATACAAACCAGTTAACCACATCATGGCTCAGTTAGTAACTAGCCCCACACATCTTGTTGTGTGCTTACTTTAAAGATGATTGTTGCCAGCCAGTCAGAAAATGGACAGGTACTACATGTAATACCTTCTACCCAGCCAGGAATGGCGCAAGTGATTATTCCTCAAGGGCAACTTTTGGATGTAACCAGCGCTCAAGGTCAGTTTTATCTGTGGGGCTTGAGGGTTGTGTATTTTTGTGACCCAACGTATCAGATGATCCCTTCTGATGAGCTTCTTGCACTTTCTCCCATCTTCAGTCACAATTAGGCATATAATGCCAAGAACTTGCATTTATAGCAACTGTAATCTGAAGATCTTAATTCACATTACAAACATTATTTAAAATGGACTGGGTTCCTGTGGAACAAGTGTTGTGCATTACGCTCATCTCTAGTTATGTTATGGGGAAGTGGAGATACTAAGAGCAAAATTCTATCCTGATTTACATTCTGTATTGTCCCATAACTTTTTGTGAGAGTCCATAGAGTGCTTGACTAAGAAGGATTGAGTACCTTGCTCAGGTTTATGCATTGAGTTATTGTTACAGCCTGAAAATAAATCTAGTAGTTCTTGCATTGTCTGTGAACTAATAACTACATAAGTTAAATTACTGCATTTCTCACATACAGCATGCTTTCCCTCCCCCCCCCCCCAAAAAAAAAAAAAAAAAAATCAGCCAGTGGAAATTGTGGGGTGCATTATAAATAAGGAAATGTAGCAATAGTATTTTCTGTATGGTCAGTCTTTTCCCAGGGAAAGTGAAAGTAACTTGTGCTGCTTCATGGGGAGCAGCATAATGGGCTTGCTGTTCTCCCTAATTGTGGTAACTCAGATACTTGCTGCAACTTAGTAGTATTTTCAAGAAAAGATCCTTTTTTCTGCATCCTGCTTTTAAAAAATGAAGTGTCTTCATATGGGGCATGTTAGGATTGCAACACAAGGATTAGAACACTCAAGGATTGCCAAAGCTTGGTGACTTAAAACATACTCAAGGTAAATGAAAAATAACCTTTGCCTTCTGGCCTGATTTCAAGTATACAGCTGTGTTGTTCAATTACTGTATTTTCTCACATAAAACATATAAATAAACTGAAACAGGACATTAATTTCAATGGCCTCTTAGTCAGTCCCACAATCCAAAAAACCTGTGAACAATCAATGAGAGTTCCCAAACCAGTCCTGAAACTAGGGATAGGCAAGAGGGGTGCCATCTATGGGTGCCAACTTGAGTGGCACAAGGGTCACCAGCTACTCCCATGGAGTCCATGTCCCAACAGGAAGAGGCTCCATTCCCATGTAGCCTGGGGCACTAAATGCAGTCCTGGCTCAGCCATCATAGCAGTTGTACAGGCTGTGCCCTGTTGTTGCTGGGCCAGGCAGGGGCTGTAGTCAGTGACCCAGGCTGCAATGTGAATGGAGCCTGTTGGTACAGAGCAAGGGTAATTGTGGGTGGGGGGGATGGGGGGAGAGGATGCAGGGGGCAAATGGTGGAGTTTAGGGACAGTGGGGGGAGGCAATTGCTGCAGCTATGACCCTGACTCTGGGTAGGGGTGGAGCCAGAGCCATAGCAGCTCCCTGATACCCCATCCAATCCCATGGCAACATTAGTTTGGGATTTTTTGTTTGCTTTTTTAAGCCTTTGATGAGGGACCTTGTCAAAAGCTTTTTCTGAAAGTCCAAATATATTTTGTCAGCTAGGTCCCCTTTGTCCACATGCTTGTTGACACCCTCTACAAATCCAGTAGATTGGTGAGGCAGGATTTCCTTTTACAAAAACAATGCTGACTCTTCCCCAGCAGATCATACTGTCCATGTGACTGCTGATTTGATTCTTTATTATACATCCTATCAATTTGCTAAGAATGGAAATGAGATTCAGTAGTCGGTAGGGTCCCAGGAGCCTTTTTTGAAGATGGGTGTTATGTTGGCACCCTATCGGTCCTCTGGCACAGAAGCCATTTGTAATGATAGGTTACATACTGTTGTCAGCAGTTGTGCAATTTCACCTTTGAGTTCCTTTAGAACTCCTGGGTGAATGTCATCCAGTCCTGGTGACTTTTTAATAATATTTAATGAGACCTATGTACTACAAAGGCTTGATTTGGCTTGAGAAGTTCCCCAGCATTTTCAGTAAAAACTGATGCAAATAATTCATTTAGCTTCTCTGCAATGACCTTATCATCCATGAGTGCACCTTTTACTACCCGGTCATCTAATGGTCCCACAGATTCTCTAGCTGACTTCCTGCTCCTGATGTATTTAAGCAGGTTTCTATATTAACTTTAGCATCTTTTGCTAGACACTTCTCAGATTTGTTTTTTGAGTTGCTTTATTTCATTTTTGTGCTTGATGTACCAGAGTGTGTGAGCTTTCTGGTTTTCCTTACTTGCACATAATCTATTTTTTTTGAAGGATGCCTTTTTGCCTTGAATGGCCTCTTTAATTCTGCTATTAAATCATACAGGAGTTTTATTGGTCCGCTTTGTACCCTTTTTGAATTGTGACATATAAACCTTTCTTGAGCCTCTAATATGGTCTGTTTAAACAGCTTCCAAACTGCTTGCAGACTTATCTACCATCATCTCTATCCAAAAATAATATTTTTGCTCTTTCTATTTGTTTGTGTGTGGTAGTAATAAAAAGAAAACCTGACTTTTTTGCCAGGGATTTGAAGACATGATTTTGTAATCATGTTGTTAAATTCTTTGATGATAAAAAGAGCTGTGAGTGTATTATCACTTTCACATGCAAATTACTTTAATGACCCACCATAATTAATATACAGTGCAGATGCCTTTGCTCACTTAGATGGAATTATCTAAGGCCTTTGCCTCTCCATTTTTTTTTTGGTATTCCTTTTTATGAGAGAAACTGCTTTTAGTTTCTTAAGACATTCTTATTACAAAGTGAACCAGTGTGTAACGATCAACGTGTAATGCAACCCTGATACCTTTTTGTGAAAATGCAGAACCGAATTTTTTGTAATAAGTTGTATACAATTATTTGCTTCGTTATATAAAATGAATCTTCTGTAATGGGGTTACCAAATACAACAATATAAGGGTATGGAGACTGCACACATTTGGAACAGTTTCAAATGGGCAGTAGCTGTTATGTTTCTTTTATTGTGGGCAAACCAGCAACAGTGCAGAGGTTGCAAAAACACTCCATCTTTTAACATTATTTCATTCAGGGTTTAAGTCGGAGCAGTTTTGAAACATTTTATCATTCCCAGCTTGTCCGCATATAATAAAAGGAACATAATACCTTCAGTCCTTTTGAAATGGTTCCAAATGTACACGTCTGTAACCTAATATTAAACATCCACATTTGTATACACATCCCTAGACTTCATCAGTAATGATACATAATTAATTATTAAACAATTCCAGAAACTGCCACCTCCATAATCTTATTTCATGT